ATTAACTGATGATAGCGCACTTATTGAAGGATTTGCGGCTATCAACGGTCGAAAAGAAGACGATTATTATGAGACTATGAATTTATCTTGCTTTTGATAAGGCGACACATTACTCGTTATAATAAATCGTTATAACAATTCGCGCCTCCTTTTTCTTTCTTGTTTTTAGCTCTCTTTTAGTGTACAAAGATGGCAAAAAAGTTTCTGCAATATTGTAGACACGAAGTATAATTATTTTATGTCATATCATCTTGAGAAAAAGATGTATTTATAATTATTTTTATAAAATTCATCAATGTTATACTTTGAAGTGAGGATCTTTCTGTATTATTATTGACATATAACACTAGAACTACCGATGACGGAATCTATTTTTACTATTTAAATATATTATGTATACAAGATGAATTAATAAAAACTTTTTCATTTCGTTCTCTGTAATGGATTGATTTGTGCAAAATCGAAATGTGTTAATTTTGTTTTTAAAGAGATTATATAATTGTAATAAAGGACCTTGCACATTTTACATGAACAAAAAACGGCTTTGGTTAAATTATAAAAATGTGCGAGATCCTTTAATGATGCTGCTTTGCCTTTTAATTAGGGTATAGCTACTCTTTCAAAAATTTTAAATAAAAATAAAGTAACGTATTGTTTTAAGGATCATTTAATTCTTTTTAAGAAATTACACACGCGTTGGAAGGTATCCAAAATTGAAAATTCTAAATAGATTTGATTGAGTTAAACTACAAAAATCATCTGATTTTATTCCATTAAATTTTTTTTTGTGATATATGAAATATTATTCAACGCCGAATTATTATTTTATACATTATATATTTTATTTTATACATGGTCTACTTACAAAAAGACAATTGATGAAGTGCCAGAAATGTTTTAAAATGTCTGCAATAACTTTGAAGGAAGGCTTTATTATTGTATAGAAATTGAAGGATATTTTTAATATTTATTGAAATTATACGTTTATTTAAATATTTATTTAAATTTTTTTGTATGAATTGCAAATTTTCAACTTTTAATATCTAAGAATATCTATCTTTTCCAAATGCGATTTTCAAAGAAGTACTTATTCAAAATGAAAAAAAAGAACACAATAGAAGGACTTAAAAAATTTTCAAAACAATGTTTTACATTTTAATGATTTAACATTTTTTAAATGAAAATATATATGTAAATTTATTTCGGAAAAATTGCGCTATTGAATGCACTACTGTCAGCCGCAAACGTTAAAAAAAAGATAAAAAAGATATAAAAACGAATCACGAACGAATGTAATGTATAAAAGAAAAATCTGTATATTTTATACATTTCAAAATTTTTTATGATTTTGTTTTGTAAGGTTTGTCTATATTCTGTGAGACGCTTTCTTGTTTTACACAGAGTAACTATTTAAATCAAGAGAATGAAGCAATATAGTTAAATTTATCACAATTATACTCTCTAAATTCTTTGGAATGAAACACTCTAAAAAGTAAAAATTGAGTAATATTGAAAAAGGGTAGCTCAATTTTCAATCTTTAAAAGTGAGATTTTATTCTTTAGAGTAACAATTCTAAAAGATTTAGAGAATACTTTCTTCTTAAAAACAAAATTGATATATCCCATAATCAGTTAGTTGTAAAAAAAACAAGATAAAAAGTTTTTGTTGATTCATACTCTGTATCTTTCAAAAAAAAAAGGGATGAAAGCGAAATTTATTAATTTATCCATTTATATATATTATAATTGCAACAAAAATTAACGAATAATTTCAGAAAGTATATCATTTTGGTACTAATAGTAGTAAGAGAGGGATGGGTGGGACCATATATCAGTCTTTATATGTCTGAACAAAGAGTCACCTACCTCTAAAGAGAATTCTTCTCTCGCTAAATCAGTAGGGATTACGAAATTATCCGTATATACGGAATGTGAAGTTCGAACTCGCGATTTATAATATTTGTCGTTCTCATATGGAGCCACACATCTCTCCTCTATCATTTTAAATTTGAAAAAAAATTATAATTTAGTCATTTTAATTGTTTGGTAATTCTAGTGTTAAGTTACGATATGCAAGCATCACTTGCTGACTGACGGTAAAGATATCAAGATATGTAATTCGAGTGATAATATACTTAACATGTTGATTACCAAATAGAAGATAACTCATAATTGGCAATATGTAGATGAACGTCTCTATTCGCCGATCGATATTTTCAAAGAAAAAGTAAAAATTTGTTTGTGAGTTTTGAATGGAGAAATAAAAAAGTAGAGCCTATTATAAAATAATGTGCTGATAAAAATGGCATTAAGTACAAAGTTACCTAATTGTACACTGGCAGTCAACGTGTTAACATGTGTCACAATAATATTAATATTATTTTATTTGTTCAAGTTGAATCATTTATTTATTTTTAATTTCTATCAGAGCTCTCTTTATCTTTCATAAAGCATCGATAATCATTCCAAATCTTTTTGACGTGTCAGCAGATTTGTGAAGCCATCGCTATCGGACGTATCCTAGGAATCATGCCGTGACGACCATTCTCCTTATTTGATTCTACTGTCACCGAATTCTTTTTTCCAATCTTTCTTTTATCGGTAGAGAGGCTTTCAAATCGCGTGCATCGTTAGCGAAACGAGATCTCTCAATTTCCCCCAAAGGTTTTTTTTCGTATGTGGATATGATTTATCGGAAAGATTTGATTCTCCTATTCGATACTCCTATTCGAATTGTTAAAAAGATTAATTTTTTAAAAAAGATATTAAGATATTTATATGTTCCGTTTCTTTTATTTGAAAATATTTGTAACATTTTTGTCTCACGGATTAGTACAATCTCGGTAATGATTACTACACAAAAATGACAAACTTGAAACAGAGATGGAAATTTCTTTTGTAAGATACGTATTGAAGATTGTATTAATTACATTCGCCTTCTATCGCTTATCCATATCGTTTCTAGATCAAGTAAAAATTCGGCCTATTTGATTGATAAATAACTCGCCAGTGACTCGTGTGAATGCGTAGATATTTATATTAAGATGTTGATAATATATAATTAAATGATAATTTAAAATTATAAAATAATACACGAAATATTGATAAATAAATATTATTTATCAATATTTTCATATACTGAATTTGCACAGAATCTGAATATTTATGCGCATACATTAAAACCATTCCTTGAGAATTATTTTTGTGTCACATGTAACTGTTAACGTATCATTTAATTTTATTTGATAGACAGAAAGTTAAAAAGTTAACTTTTTGCACTCTTATGTCGACTATGTAGTAACACGTTAACTAACAAGAAGGGTCCGGCTCAATTTTAATCGCATAATTATATTAAAACACAAATAAAATATTCACGCACATATTGGCTGATGATCAAGATAATGGATTATAAATTGGCTGATAAATTGCGTCAAACATTTTCTATGTCAGTTCTCACTAAATACTAATTAACTAACAGTAATATCTAACATCAATGTTACAATTTTACACTTAACAATGTAACTGTTACATGTAATATACGTTATATTACTCATACAGCACAGAACGGTGAAAGAACGTTGCTGAGACGACATTGCAATGTTGAATGTTAAAGTGTGAATCTTTTTCAACGTTAAATCTGTGTTGATTTTTCTATACAAATTGTTAATGTTGCTGTAAAGTTGAAATAATATTCCCATGCAGCATAGAACGTTGAAAGAACGTTATTGAAATGTTGCAATATTGAATGTGAAGTGTGAATGTTCTTTCAACGTTGAATTTACATTTGCAATGTTACAATTCAACATTTCTGAGATGCTGATTCATTAGTGTGCTCTGTATGGGTTACATTTATATTAATTGAATAACAATTTCTAACATTGATGTTATTGTGTGTTACTATTAGTTGACATTTAGTGAGTTTTTTGTAACTGACGCAATAATTTCTCTTTTAATGTTAACGTTTATCGCAGTGGCAATTTTAAAATTATGAAACATCTTTTCAGTTGATTACTTTTGGTAATTTGAAAATTATAAAACATCCTATAGCCAAGAATTTTTTATTGTGCCATCTGTTCAAATCATACCTCTGTTCAAATGTAATTAATTATTAGAGGGTTAATCGATCTTAAGCTAAATGTATAAATTAGTATATAAGCATAGAAAGTGTGTTAGTGTGCGAAACTCGAAGAGTGTCTCGAAAGCGGTACATAAGATGCAACGAAGCAACCGAGACTTGTAAATTTCCGATGATTAGTCACTTGCATATATTTGTAAATAATGTTACGATCATATGGACATGACATTATCGCTGTACTAATTGTATCGATAAGGACAGTTTTGTATATATTAATATAGTCTCTTTGGGTGCGTATAAAATAAGCGTGTGAGTAGTTGTCGACGTTTTTATATATGTGGATGTTTCTGTAAATGAATTATTGCATCCCCGACACGTATCAGGACGAAATTCCAGAAAAGAGAAGTAGAAAGATTTTTTTCTTGCGTTATTCTATAAACTAGGACTAAATCGTAGTGAACACTGTTTTGCGTTTTATAACCGAAAACGTAATGTTCCTACACGCAATCAAGCGCGATTGTTAAGAAACTCTTTAAATTCATAAAATAATTTACGTATATAAAAGAGATTTATATTGATAATCAGAAATTAGTAATTCGTATATCATCGCCGAAAATATCTGAAATATTTTTGCGACGTATTATTTACATCTTCTTATTATACTGTTAACTGTTAATGAATGACAGCAATTCGATAGCAATTTGAAACTCGCGGTTCAGAAATAGAAGTTTAGTGCGTCTTTATGCCGCGCATGGCAAATTTAAACGGAAAAATGGCGCATTGTTTGAAACGTCAAATGATCAGAACTTA